TCTCCGCGGACACACGAGTCGTTCTCGCGGATACAAGAAGCGCCAGTCCGCTCAGCACCACGACTCAGCGCCGGCGCAGACCAGCGCCAGCACGTCGCGCGTGCACGAGGGACACTCAGCGCGCGACGACAGCATCCGTGGTGCAGGTAGCGACAACCCCACCCATCACCACCACTCCCACACTGACCAGGAAGTGTAACAGCGCCGCACTGGAGGTAACCCCGCGCATGGCGTACCACTATCACCCACACCCCATCCACCCCCACGTCCATGGCACCGCACCCACATCCATGCACACCGCGACCACGCACCGACGAGGGGCGCGAGCACCCGAAGAACTACCACCACACCTCGCGCCAGCCGGCTCGGCACTACGCGAATCCCGCGTCTGCGCAGCACATCACGATTCCGCGTCTGCGCGTCATCACTATTCGCGTCTGCGCAGCACATCGCGACTACTCCCACCTCGGGCTCCACACCGCACCTCGGCATCCTGGAATATCCACCCCCACCTCGGCATCCTGGAATATCCATCCACTTCAGGCTCCATCCCCGACCGCGCAACGTACGACGCATCCCGGATATCCACCCCACACCGCATTCGGGCTGCTGGATATCCACACCGCATTCGGGATCCCGGATGTAAGGATATACACCCACCCGGGCCCGGGCTCCACAGAAAGCCCCGCCCGACTCCACAGACACAGAAAGACGAGACGAGACACGGAAAAATCAAAGTATCGTATCAAGGCGACATTGCAACGCAACGCAACGCGGGCCGCGATGCGATGGAAGTCAGCCCGTGCGTGCCCGTGCCCGTGATGGAAGGCCCAGGCTCGGGGTTTGGGATGGAGGGAATAGGGAATAGGGAGCGGAGGCTGGCTGGCCCGCGATGCAGACCCTCGCACAAAGTCACCCGCGCACATCGGGGTATGAAGCAAGCGTGGGCCACGCATCCTCCTGCCGAGTAGGATAATTCGGGCAGAGGGAGCAGTCCAGGCCAGGCCAGATAAACACGCGAACACGCGAACTCGGGGCCGGCTCGGGGCGAGCGTGGCTGAGGGAGTAGTGCGTGATGGCCTCGGCGTGGCGGGGCCGAGGTGCGAGGGCGAAGAGAACAAGGAGTAGAGCAGAGAACGAGGCTCGAGAGGAAAAGCACAGAAGACGGGACGGAAATGACACGAAGACGGGAGGGGAATGACACAAAGGCAGGCGGAAATAAGATAAGAAAGAATAAAAAAAACACGCACACAATGGTCGATTGGCCGACTGATACTGAGGCACTGGCGAGAGTGCTCACAGACTGGGACGTCGACGATGGTGGTGCGCTCGGGCTCAGGCTCGCGCTGTTACCGCCGCTGCTGGCACTCGCGCCGCCCCCGCCGGCACTGGCACTCGAGCCGCCGCCGGCGCTACTGGCACTCGCACCGCCGCCGCCGCTATCGCTGGCGGAGATGCTGCTTGCGCTCGCACTGCTGGGGGCGCTCGGGCTCGGGCTCCCTGAGGGGAGGATACCGCTGAGCGGGTCACCCGGGAGGCTGATCGCTGTGAATATCAAAAATAATAGTCAGTAAAGGTGCATGAGGGGATAGGAGCAGAAGGGACCGGAGGCGGGGCTGCTGCTGCTGCTCGCGGGGACACTCGAGTTCGACGAGGACATGGCTCGTCACAACAGGCTCTCGAAGAGAAGCACGCAGCACGAGCACGTAGTTTATACGTAGGGTAAATACCCCGGAACGAGGCCCTTTTTTTCGTGCCGCGCCGGAATCGGCCGGCGATAGCGGACAACCGGAGGGGAAATGAGACTCACAGACAGACATCTATTTCCGCTGTTTTTTAGGGGTGAGTTAAATAGTCGGAAGGGATAGTGGGGGGGAGAAGGAGAGTGGGGAGATTTGTTCGGGAGAACAATCGTCAGTGTTGGTGGAGCTCCGAGGAAGATCTCGTTCACGTGCAACGGCCATGCGGTCACACCCGGGAAATGCCGTACATACATTTCAACTCCACTTTCAAACTGAAGAGAAAAATGAGTTGGAAGTCGAACCGCGCAGCTAATATTCCACCTACAGCTAAACTTCCAATTCTTTAAAAAAAATCTGGTCACGACGGTCGATTCGGACCCGGGGAATCAAGAGGCGAGCGATCTCTGGATCGCGGAATTTGATCTGTCCACGTGAGCGCCACTGATGGACAGCGGCACAAGCCTCGGCCATGATCAAATCAATATAGCAATGCTGCCTGCCAACTTCAAGCCGACTCTACAACTTCTCGATAATTCTTAGAGCGCTCTCAAACGAAAAACTAGATGTAAAACCAATGGAAAGCCCATGAATTATTTTTGAACTATGGAATAAAATCTGCATCTGCGTCGTCTTCGTCACCTCCGCCATATGCACATAGTTATTAGCCTTCCATCTTGAGTGCTGCAGATTTGCGCTGGCACGCGCTGAATTGAAAGCCAGACGCGCTTTGACGCGCCCGTAGGTGGTGGTTAGTTGCAAGTGTTTGGCAAATTGATGGCCGACTCGACGCCGCTGACTCAGACCTGCCTTATTTGGGGGGTAGGTACCCGTGGGAAGATATCCGCGATAAGGAGATCGCACGCCTCTTGCGGGGAATCGAACCCCGTCCTACCCTCATGAAGCTATACTCTATGCTGAAAAATGCTTCAGGGCTATGCACCACGTCCGATTCATTATACTTCAGCTGCACTTGTCGATGAAGCATTAATTTAGATGCGATGAACAAAAAAAATATTCAAATCCAATCGGATGCGGGGAATTGAACCCCATCCTGCCCCTGAGTATTCCTACGAAAGCTTCTAGCATTGAGGGCCGTGCACCGTACACCACATCCGATGGATAGTTCTACTCCAACTACACTTGTTGAAGCATTAATTCAGATGATATGGACAGCAAAAAATGGACTCCGACGAGATATTCGGATCTGGGGAATCGAACCCCTCCTGCCCTTGAATACTTCTATGAAGCGACTGTATTTCTCGGGGCCGTGCACTGTACACCACATCCGATCCATATCCATACATCCCTTGGTGTTGAAGCATCAACTCGCATGGCGTGGCCAAAAAAATCTATGCGCCGGAGTGCACTATTCGGACGCGGGGAATCGAACCCCTCCTGCCCTCACATTTACATACAGCAGCTCTGCTCCATGGTGCAGGGCCGTGCAGCGTACACCACGCCCGGTTAATTCTACTTCAATTGCACTCTTTATTATTGAAGCATCAACTCGCATGGCTTGGCCAAAAAAATCAATGTTTTGAGCTATTCGGACACGGGGAATCGAACCCCATCCTGCCCTCGCACACAGTAGTAACATCGTATTGTTCAGGGCTATGCACCATACACCACGTCCTATTTATTCTACTTCAAGCACCGTTGTACTCAGAGCCTCACATTCAGATATCATGGACACCAAAAAAAGAACCTGGAAACCCATCCATTCGGACGCGGGGAGTCGAACCCCTCCTGCCCTAAACAAGGGATGCGTTCAACATATAATTCAGGGCGATGCACCATACACCACGTCCGATTAATTCTCCTTCAACCACCCTTGGTATTAATTGAGCCATTATTCGGATGAGATAGACAGCAAAAAACTGTTACGGGTGTACCTCATTCGGACGCGGGGAATCGAACCCCTTCTGCCCTCACTTGAAATCAAGCTGTATTCTGATGGTTCAGGGCCGTGCACCATACACCACGTCCGATTCATATACCTTCAACTCCCCCTGGTATTGAACCAATAATTCAGATGGCATGGTCAAAAAAAAAACGCGTGTGCCACTACCATTCGGATGCAGGGAATCGAACCCCATCTTGCCCTTGACATTGTCAAAATGCCTTGGCTGCCAGTCAGGGCCATGCACCGTACACCACATCCGACTAATAGATCTGCTTCAACTACACTTGATGTTGAACCAATATTCAGATGACATGAACACCAAAAAATGGATGTTCAATTCATTCGGATGCGGGGAATCGAACCCCTCCTGCCCTCAGTTGAACACAGTTGCAATCTTTAATGGTTCAGGGCTGTGCACTGTACACCACGTCCGAGTTATACTCCCTCAACTACACTCTTTATTCTCGAATCATTAACTCAGAGGCTTGGACAGCAAAAGAAAAAGAAGACTTGGCCCAAATTATTCGGACGCGGGGAATCGAACCCCTTCTAACCCTGAGTATTTCTGCGAAGCTCTACATATCACTGAGGGCCATGCACCGTACACCACATCCGATTAATTGTTCTACTTTAACTACATTTGTTGTTGAAGCATTAAACCAACTGAGATGGATAGAAAAAAATAGACGTCATACCGAAGTATTATTCAGATCTGGGGAATTGAACCCCTCCTGCCCTTGAATTCTATGAAGCTACCATAATTCTCGGGGCCGTGCACCGTACACCACATCCGATTAATAGTTATACTTGAACCACGTTTGTTGTTGAAGCATTAATTCAGACGATATGGACAGCAAAAAATGGACGGCGACCCAGCTATTCGGATCTGGGAACCGATCCCTTCCTGCCCTCGTGTTGAATATTGTCACGAACTTACGATTCAGGGCCGTGCACCGTACACTACGTCTGATTCATATACCTTCAACTGCCCATGGTATTGAAACAATAATCCAGATTTCGTGGATAAAAAAAATCAGGAAGATGCCAATTCGGACGTGGGGAATCGAACCCCTCCTGCCCTGAGAAATTCAACATCCGGATTCATCCGTCAGGGCCATGCACCGTACGCCATATCCAATTCATATACTTTCAAGCACCATTGGTGTTGAACCAATCATTCAGATGTTGTGGACAAAAGAAAATTGAGGCCTAAGTATTTGGACGCAGGAAGTCCGGCCACTCACCTCTTTCGTTTCTTTCGACCGTTGCAGGGATTTTGAGGTGGCGAAACAAAAAATGAAGAAAAGAAAAAGCAAAAGTAAAGACAAGGCAAAATAATATATCTTCTTTCCTAGTTCCGGATCGGGGAATCGAACCCCGGGCTGCCGCGACCATATTACGAAAGCTAAGGCTTACGTAACGGATGAGAGGCGGCAATGTTAACCCCTACACCAATCCGGAGATGTACATTGCTCCCTCTGAGCTAATATATCGACTGAAATCTTCAAAAATGCTACGAATGCGCCTATTGACACGACAAACATTAGGGCTGTTCACCGTAACCGTATTACGGCCGTACGGTGACCCGTATATACGGTAGCCGTAACCGTACTGTCAGGCATATTTTCCGATTTTCTACGGTACGGGTACGGTTGGCCCCGTATACCGTACTTACCCGTACCGTGACGGCTCCCGACGGCCGTATGCGAGCCGTATATGGGTGCCCGACCCAGGTGACCATTTCTGCGTGTTTGACTGAGACATTAACATGTTGATACTCACTATTGTCCTTTAAATGCTCACCCACTACCACTGGAGCCTTGGCTCAGCAACAAACATAATTGCTGTGCAGTTTAAAAACATATTAGTACCATAGATGCCTAAAATACATGCTGCTGGGTATGCTAAACTTGTGAGGCTCCGAGAGCTCACAAGTTGGATTAATTGACTATATTTATCCTGGCGAACCTCAGGGCCACCCTAACAACTGCTTATGGTCCGAGCTCTATGAAAGTATCACTAGGGGTGGAAACCCAGGCCCTGTGCTATACTCTCTACTCAGGATACCCTTATGGAGCGAGTCCAGACTGATCTGGGCAAGTTGTAAATAAGGTTAACAGTAGTCCGAGTATATCAGAATATTTTTTCAAAATATGATAGCTCACCTGATACCTGCAGACCTTTTCTTGGAGTTGAAGTTCAACAAGGAAAGCTCACTAGGGAGTAGGTGATAGTAGTTTATGAGTAAAGTGTAGATAGATTCATCATCATTACGCATATTGTGTTACTATGTGACAGCTGATGTAACAAGATACTAATACATCTCCTCGTCGTGTATGGAAAAGTAATTGAAAAAAAAGGTAAGCATAATTTGACTATGAAGTATTCCTTACAAACCTAACAATGGTATAATCCAGCTGCAGAAATTCGCTCATCAACCTGGTAAACATCCTTAGTCTGTGCAGAGTGTTCAAACAGAGAACGAGCAGCAATCCAAAGTTTCATGGCCTTCTCTCCGTCTCCTCGGTGCTTTGAGATATCTCCAAGTCGAAGCATGCAATTCCCTCTGCTCCGATGGACATCCATCTGAGTGAAGCCCTCAAGTGCCACAGTAAACAAACTCAGTGCTGTCTCCTCGTCTTCTTGAACAATGAACATGTCACCAAGACAACACAAGGCTTTGTGAATGACCAACTTCTCCTGTGCTCTGAGTCCACGAATAAGGAATATAATTGGCCAACAGGACATTGATTGAGTGTCACTCGGGCCCCACCTGTTGATATCTGCAAGTCTCTCAAGACAGAAACCCACAATATCATTGTCATTCACCCAAGATTGAGTGAGACACTGCTGGAACAATGTCTTTGCAGACATGAGCCTGCCCTCCCGAAGTTCCAGGTCTGCCAGGACTGTATCACATTCAGTCAATCCAGGGGCATGTTTTAAGCTCCCAAGGACCAATCTTGCTCCATCCAGATGCTGTTGTACCTGCTCTTCGTTTTCCCCAATGGCAACACCAATCAGAGCCATATTGAGGAGTGCATAGGCATAATTTTGTGGGGCCAGCTTTGGTGAATTGTTCTTGACAATCTGAGCATTGATAGCACGGGCATCAGAATATTCGGATTTTAGTAGATGAACCTCTGCTAGGTTGACTTGGATTCTGACATCTCCATCAGCACCTGAGAGACCACAAAGGGCCAAAAGTTCTCTTGCTTTGTGTGCTATATTGACACAGGATTCATATTGACCAAGAGCACAGCAGGCAAATGATTCCAGCCGAGCTGCTGCTGCCTCATGGTATAAATTTGCAGATGACCTTGCAATTTCTTGTGATTCCTGGGTGTATGCCCGGACTGCCAGATAATCACCAAGTCTATACTTAACCCAGGCTATTTCGTTCAATGCAGCGCACTGCTTCCTAGTAGCTCCAGAAGACCTAGCTAAAGAAAGAGCAATGTTGTAGTACTTCAGAGTTGATGGGAGGTCATGTTTCCAATCAAGATGATAGGCCCCAATCGCAATATAAAATGCACCTGAGGTGATATATTGAGTACCAAGAGTAAACAACAATTTTTTTTTGCACTCACATTCAGCTTCTTTATCCTCAAAGTTATGAAAATGTTCTTGGGTCTGGTGAATGAGAAGTTCTGGATTTTGAATTTGGTATTCCCTGCTTGACATGAACATGCTTGTAATCAGTCGAGCATGTAGTTTATGGTCTCCGAGTCCAGGAATTATATTTTGGACATGATCCATCAGTGGGGAATGATTGTGATTGGTAAGCCTATTGAAATAGTTGAGAGAGAGAACACATTCTGCAGCATCTCGGATGTCACAATCCTCAGATGCCAGTCCAATCATGAGAATATTATGAAGATTTCCAAGGTTGGATGTTATAGCATCAACAAGTCTGGCCCCAGATAGATGCCCCAAATACTGCACGTATAGTTCCAGGAGTTCCTGGAGATAATTGCGGATAGGGTGGATAAGCTTTGTGGTAGGGGGATAGATCTGCAACATATATTCCTGGATAGGCACCAATGTCTTCAGACGGTTGTCATGATCAACATAGGCCAAGGAGGTACAGAGGAGTGTGGCTTTACAACTCAGAATGTTTGGCATTGGAAGGTTACTTTGGTGAAGCTCGATATCAGAGAGACCATCTGGAAGGAGGGACAGCAAACTCAGCAAATCCCTGGCATCTGGAGAAGCAACCATCCGAGGGCTTGAAACAGACAATGTAATAGATACATCCAGATTTGATTTTTTATCTTGCCCACCGGAAAAAAGAAATATTTTTTCTTCCTCCCAACGGCTCATCACATTAGCACAGCCTTCATGATCAGCAAGGTGGGCAATGAGATTGACCGCTAAGGGCATGTTATCTGTTAGGCGAAGAAGTTTGTCAACATCTCCATGATCATGGACATCATCTGCAATATCGATGAAAGTTTGTCGTGCAGCATCCATTGGCAATGGCTTCAATGGGGGTAGAAATGGCCGAGTCCATTTCACATTTGCTGGTCTCTCTGCACCACGCATAGTGACCTGTTTAAAATCAATACAGCTTCATCAGCTTGAACTTTACAATATACTCACAATCAGTGCCAGATGTGGAATATCAGTGAGAAGAGACATGAATTCTTCAACAGCGAGCCGTGATTCTGTGGGTTCCCAGGCTGTTTCCACATTGTCCAAAACTAAAAGACAGGCTGCACTGTTCAGGAAATAGTGGATAATGGCTTGAGTGGGATCTCTCTGTGGTTTTAATCCTAGATGACCTGCAACAAGAGCAGCTAGATCAAGGCTGGTGGTAGCCGAGTCTGCAGCAATAAAGAACCGTTGTTCATATTTTGCAGCAATGGCAGAGTGGTGGAGTGCAGCCTTGGCAAGACTAGTTTTCCCAATACCACCTGGTCCTAGGATTGCAATCCGGGCTGTTGCCTGAATGAGCATTTGCACTACCTCTTTCACCTCTGAGTCACGGCCATGAAATATTTTTGGCTCTGCTGGCAACATAGACAGAGAGGTTGAGCTGTACAAAGAATACTGAGCATAATTGTAATGACTTTGATTGGAATCACACCTGTTCCACGAGCTAGAGAGATTCTCATTCATCTGACAGATATTAGTTGATACATAAATTACAGAAGGCCTCCAACCTACCGCAGATGATCTCTCAGACTGGTTCCCATCCGATATCATGGCAATTAATTCCAGTAGGTCTTGATATGTTTTATCTGCGTTCTTCTGAATATCCGCAGTATTGGATAAAATGTTTGCTCCAATGTCAACCTGCATGTTTCTGTTCAACTTTCAGACATGTTGAAATGCAAAGATGTACCTTGAATACCTCGAGGGCGGACTGAAGCCCTGAGTGACATTCCCTCAACAGTGAAGTGGTCTCAGTTTGACGAAAGAAGTTCCTAATTTTGTTTCCATCCTGCTGGGCTTCGATGAAGACATGGATTTTTTGCAATGTCCTAAGCATGTTCAATAACAGTATCACAAGTAAATCAGGGAAGGCATACTCCATAAACCTTCCGATATGGTCAATTGTGGATGGTAGCAGTGTTCTTTCGCCCTCCGATTTTACATGGAGGGCAATGATAGCGTAGAGAAGCACATGAATATGCTCCATCAATTCGGTGCATTCATCTTTGTTTCTCTTGACGGACTGTCAACAAATTAAACGGTCGGACAAGCATTTTTTGGACTAGGAAGGTACCTGAACCGTAGTCAAAAGGGAAGCGGTTGTATTTGAGATGGCTTTCAAGAAAGGAGTGCCGAACGCATCAGAGAGTTCCCGAAATGCGGGGGCAGCAACAGTCAAATAATCTGTAATGTTTTTGAAGCGAGTAGCACTGTTCTGTGAGGGTTTCATAGTGGCAGTGGGAGATGTTCGATGCCCTGGAAGCTTTATACTTGCGCGTGAGAAGACATTGCATAGAACATCAAACTTCTATTCAGCTGGTCCTCCGCGATCAGTATCAGTATCATGGAAGATGTTGTCTGCGTTCCTAGCAGTCTATCAACAGGGGAGAGTACCTTCCATGCCATACATGAGCAGCTGGATTGACATCGAAGGCGAGACGAACACATGTTCGTCAAATCTAAGTTTGGCAACACGATAACGCGGAAACTGTCCTGTTAAAGATTAACATTCACAAGAGTGGTTCTAAGCCTGGTATAAGTATAGCGGCGTTCCGTCTATTCCCTATTCAAGATATCCGACTCCCAAGCTCAATTGGCATCATTGCGAGGCGGGACCACGCGCGCGGAGCCCCCGATACGGTCGTTCTCAAGATCCATGTACCCGTCCGTCGACTCGAAAGTCGACAACCGTCTGCGATGCTTTCGCGTGACAGGCACCTCCGCCTCATCCAGTTCAGTCTCCGTCTCCGTGGCTGACGGTGACTCTGGTAGCGTTGAACTCGAACTCGCAGTTGAGTTATTCT